GGGTTAATTTACAAGGCATAATCTTTTAAATGGAATATATGGCATCTGACCATTGTCTCAATATGTCCCTTTGAGATATCTCCCACCCCACGCCCACAGACATAACTTTATACCCCAAAAATCCCAATGACAGACCTCATGCCCATTTAACAGTCTCACATTGTTCTAGAGAATAGAGATTAAAAATATATACTATTGACTTCCAGTGTATGTGTTCTCTGTTTTTCTCTACTGAAAAAAAAAAAATCTTCTTTGCCACAATGCAAGCTCTGAGGTCTTTTCTCCACACACACACACACACACACATATATACACTGTATATATATATATATATATATATATATATATATATATATATATATATATTAGAGGATTTTTAGCTGAGAAGTTAGGCAAAGTATATGTTCATTTGGACGGAATTCATTCAAAATGAGAAGGAATTTTCTTTTCTCCAGTTTCCCATTTGAGGAGGACAAAATTTGAGAAATTTGGGAAGCGCTACAACATCACATGACTACTCAAGAGCAGGTAGCAAGGTAAAAAGAAGAAGAAATAGATAAAAAGGCCTGAACTTGTACAAGGCAGAGAGATGGGCAAAACGATATGGCTCTCTGTGGCATTCCAGGGCCCTACTAACAGTAAGAGAAAATGTACAAAGTTCAAGAGAGGGTTAGAGCGAGTAAAAGGACAATCAGATAAAGGGGAAGATTGTGAATTAGTTGTTTAAACAGGAACAGAGCTAAAGCAATAGTGCAAGACTACGCCATGGGTTTTGGGAGAGGACTAGAAGGGTGATACAAATATTCTATCTGCCTGATTCATCGGTATACGAGGTGAGATATGGTGCCAGATTTGAAGTTGAGCTGATGGTTGGGCACAAAGCTGTGCTGGGGATTCTTCCGCGTGCAGATATCTTTTGCATACAAGCCCATGCACGAGTCACATGACACTTTAGAGCAGTTCACACAGGTGTGCGATGCACCTGGCTTGTTGCAAAACCCGCACCGCGATCCCCCCAAGGTTATTCGCTCACTGCTGCCTCCCTTTGGCGTTGTCAAGGCAACAGACTTGCTTGGAAACAGCTTGGTGGACATTAGGGGTTTCTCCACTATCTGCGGGTGAGGATGGGGGTGAGAGTGTGAGTGGGTCAGTGTCAGAGGGTGCGGATGGAGGTGGGAGTGAGTATTAGAGTAGACAGAGAGCTTTTCCTTAACAGGAATGTATCCGTCGAGGGGTCGTGGGGATTTGGGGTGGTAGTCCTGGAGGCCACAGCAGGGGGAGGGGTCTACATCATGACAGGCAGAACAGAGGATCATGTCACACCTCTGGCAGGAGGCCATAGTGGAGCAGCCCAGCCCACAACCCTGACACTTCACACCACCATGTGCCTTGAGGAGCCACCCATCCCTTGCCTCCCGTGGCTCTCTGGATGGAGGTCGAGAGGGCGTCTGCCTTCCTCCTGTCCCAGCAACACCTCTCTCTGTGTACAAGTCAATCTCATCCAAAGAGGACAGGTGGTAGGATGTGTAAGCATCAGCCGGGGGAGGTGACTGAATAGGGAAGAAATCCGCCACGGGGCTATAGGAAGGTGGAGCTGCCACAGAGAAGAGTGATGCTGAGGTGCTGGGCCTAAGGATCTCATCCTTCATATCCTCCTCTGCATCCACAAACAGAGGCTCCTTTCTCAGACTCAAAGAGGCCTTCAACACAGGCTTGCTAACTGCTGCGTGCCAGTGACCAGCCCCATCTGTAACATCCACAGACTTTGACGGTCGGCTGCCTCGCCTCAGGTGGTGGGCATGAGGCCTCTCTATATCCAGCGGACGCACAGACAGCCGGGCCATATCTGCCCCGAGGCTGTCGCGTCTGCGGAGCGCCTCGGCACAACCAGCTGCATCATCTCTGCAACCTCTGCGGAGTTCCAGGGCCTCCAGCTCTGAGGCTGAACCACGGGCCAGAGCCACTACCTCTCCCAGAAGACGACACTCTGCCTGGGCCAGGAAGAGCTCAAACGCCAACTGGCGGAGGTGATTTGCACCTCCCGGGTGTTCCTGCAAAAGGAACTGCGAATCATGGTCACAGGCGTAGCCGATGGTGCGCATTAGAGTTCGGAGTTCAGAATCAGTAATGGCAGACTGCAGGTAGTACACGTATGGGCCAGTGAAGGTCTAAAAAAAGAAATGCATTAATCAGCATCAGTTTCATGGCAACAGAAGATAAAATCAACTCCAAAACTTACCTAGCATGGTATTCATCTGCTATCATATAATTAAAAAAGTATATGTAAAGTTTGTTTTGATACTGTGTACTAACATTACAGATGTAAAACCTTTAACAGTTTTTGAAATTACCACCTCACATACAAATGCTGTCTAAAAATAAATTATTAAAAAACAGGACGAGCAAGTTATTGGGGATAGCAGGTTCCAATACAGTGTTTCACATTGTGGTGGTGGGGCAACCCTTTTGTTTATAAATAACACACTGTATGGTGTTGTGATTAGACAATAAATACTGTGTAACAATGTTGTAAGATGTAGATGTTATTATTAATAAGTCAATTGCTAATGTTGGGTAGTCCTATGTTACTGCATTCTTTATATACATTATTAGGTACCTGATTAACTATGGAGACAAAGCACAGGCAATTTATTTACACAGTAAATGTCATTTTAAGGCTACACAACATAACCATAAATCTGTAAAGATGCTGTACTGACTCTGTGCTGCAGCCACTACTAAATGAATATGTGGGGGGAAAAAAGCTTGTTTCCACCTAGAGGTCGTAAAAGATACTAATGTATACTGTCACTGGATTCTGTGGCGGACCTTTCATATGAAAATTCACATTCAAACCAGCATTTTAATAATAATTGGTTTATGTCAGCTTTAAACACACCTTTATACATCTGAACTCCTTCTTCCAGGGGAAGAGCAAGAGGTTGGTGCAGATGGTTTCCAACGTGTGGAAGGCTCTCTCCAGGCTCTTGATGTTGCCCCCTCTCTGGCAGCGGAGAGAACTCTCCACCACTTCATAGAAACGCACCATACGGAAACGTTGACCTGGATCTGGCTGGTAGGCCCCTAGCAGAGCTGTGGCTGTGGAGAGTAGAGCCTCACTGTCCTTGTGTCTCCCTCTGTCCCCCTCTGGTGCAGTTCCAATCCATGTGTATTCCTCCTCTAGACGCCTCTCCAGTGCTGTCACATACCTCCGAAACAGGTCCTCTTTTAACTTGGCATCCATTATCGACAGCAGACTCTCAGTCAGCTGTTACACTTTATACTTATGCCTCACCCCTTTTAGCATGCCCTGCACCAGGATGCCACATTCAAGCATCATTTTTGATCACCATAATTCACTGTACACACTGGCACACACTCAAACTTAATTATGTTTTGGAGAGGTGGAAGAGGAATGAGACTTTGCATCCAATCAGCAGCACATCCTTTAAACAAGAGATGTAATTGTCTGGGTCTTTTAGTTGGCGTAGCTAGGCTGCAGCCTGCATGATAGCATTCTTATGGGCATCTATGGTATTGTCTCAAAGCCTGACTTGTTTACATACAAAAAGGCCTATGTTGTGGTAAGGAGGAGTGTTTTCGTCATGCGCTGTTCATGCACAGTTATATCTATTCCATCCCTTGGTTTCAGCATATGCAGAGTTCAAGGTCGTTCATCAGGAAGACATTCTTGATTGTGTGATTCTTCTGAGCCGTCTCTAAGCTGTAATGACACAAGAGAGCTTTATAAAAATGGAAAGCTCTCATTCTGTTACACATAAATAAAGACGGAACCTTAGGCCATATTTCATTCTACTGACTCACTCAGGGTTAACTGAGTCCAAAAAATGCATTTGTAACGATCATCATCAAGAGCATTTTTCTTAAAATCTAATGAGTCAGATAAGAGAGAGGCTTTATAGGCATCATTATTTCAATAAACAGTGTCTGTGCTCTGAGTGGGATGATGTGAGGGTGCATTGTGTGGGCTATTTTATGTCGATCTTGGAGCTAATAGGTTGGACTGATAGATACCATGATGTACGCAACCAATAAATAGACTTGGGGAATTACAGTGTACATAACCAGGGTTCCGATTCACTATTGACAGACATATTCTTTTGTCTTGCGCTCCTGTTTGCGCCAATGAATATGACAGCTAGCGGTACTACATGCTGCACTTCAGTTGGCTAACATGAACACATTGCGACACTGGGACATATGAGATGGCCAGGTGTAAGTTAAAGCTAAAATGACCGGAGGCTTGAACCACAGCAGATCAAGGTTTCTGTTCCTCGTTCCCGGGCAACCTGGCCGGCTATTCCAGTTACCCGACACATCAACCTTAGCGAACATCCGTTTAGCGAGCTAGCAAGCAACATGCCTTAGCTCACAACATCACCATGCATTCCTAGTGCGCATCACTTGCAACAGGATCAGTCCGTCGCGACCAAGGTTGGTAGTAAGAGGGACACCCCGAGGACAGCTTGTACGTTAATTCTTCATAAATCTCAAACCCGACGATGACCGATGCTCACTGGCATGGCCCCCGTACTGAGTATAAGCAGTGAACGCCCATTTCAGCGCAGCTGGCTAGCTAACAGTTGCTTTAGCTAGCAAGGCGGTCCATCGCTGAAGAGAAATGTTTGGCGATTTTAAAGTCAATTGTATAAACATACACAGCCATGGTGGCATAACTCATGTACGAGAAAGTCTAATTCTGCGTCGGCTAAGATCTCTCACACAGTTTTCTAATCAGAAGCACCAACACCCGCACATCTTACCTTTAACAAGTGCTAGCCGTGGCTAGCTACGCCTCCTCAGCTGTTGGAAATTCCCATCACCACACTGCGCATGCGCCCGGTTCTGACAGCATTAGGAGCCCACGTGCTGCTGAGGGAAGGAGCCGGAGGAGGATGCAGAGACACAAACTGCACCACCACCGCTGTTGAGTCGTGTGTGTGAGTTACATCAGTATACGGTCTTTTTCGGAAAACAAAAATATGAGCTCACGCGTGCAGTTTGTCATTCATTCAGCGGTACATACAAAATATCACTGTTTATCTACAATTAACCAATATAGGTTAATCTAATCAACAATAACGTCCAGCAAGTAACCAATTTTTGGAAGCTATTTTTGTTCACTTAATCCACCTTTTTGATTTTAAAATTATGTTTTGCCTTCCTTTCAACGTTGTTATACTCCACGTTCATACAATATTTATAAACAAACAAACGTTTTAATGGCCACAATTGTGAGAATCACCAGTCCCTGCTTACCAAATGTGAGGATTTGCTGTTTTTTTATTGTATATCTATCTGTGTATTTGAACAGTCAGGCATAGACTGTATATAAAAAGGTCAAAACAAGATATTTGCTACTACTGTCCCTTAACAGTTTAAACGTTATCGCCGGTTGTACTTTTGCCATAACTCCGCCCTCGCGCATAAAAAAGAAACAATCCGGTGACGTCGACACGGGAACGGTTGGTGGGGGACTGAGTCAGTGAAGAAAAGAAATGGCGATGCTCGGAGGGTTTAGCGCAGCCCAGCACAAGAAAAACGTCTCTGACGGGAGCAACGACGTGTCAGAATTCGTCTGTCCAGTTTGCCTCGAAATTTTCGACAGTCCCGTAACAACACAATGCGGGCATACGTGAGTATTCTGCCCTTTTTTCGATCGTTTTCCCCACAAACCACGTCTACCACCAGCGATTCAATGGTACGAGGTAAACATAACGGGGGTGAGAGGCATTTTTCCAAACATGTCGTGCCCCCAGACATGCTAGACATCGACCATGCGTTTGCCTGCATTTGTTGTGAGCCTGTAATTAGTTTTCGCTTTACTTGAATATTTGGCTAAACCAATGCCAGCTTGCTAAATCAGTTTCAGTTTTGTTTACATCAAAGAGGCGGCCTCGCATGGGAGATGTAGTTTAAATCTTCATTGTTTTGACTCATCAAACCACTTTAAAAGACTACAAGTCCCTGCGCCCTCTTCAGCTAGGGGCTTTCCATCGGATTTACAGGAAGCTCTAGGTAGGAGCTGTACATGGATCGTCCAGTACATGATATCATCAGGTTTCTTATAATGTATTTTAATGCAGCCGAGCTTTTTCCTTCTAGTCACCATAGGCAAAATTAAAGTTGATTACAATTTGTTTCCCTTGTTCATCACCAATCTATTGTCAGGTTCTGCCAGAGTTGTTTGCAAGAGTGTTTGCGTCCACTGAAGCCAGTTTGTGCAGTATGTCGGACCGGGCTTGGCCACTGGACTAAAGCTGAGGACCTTGAGGCCCTCATCCAATCATCTGTGGCAGCTTGCAAGGGATGTGGAGCTCAGGTATGTTTCATGGTGCAATAGCTAACACAAAGTGAATGACATTTACTGGTTTGTTGTGAACTGGGTTTGGAAACACACAAGGGTTAAGACCGATCCCTACTATGCACAAGGCAACCACTGGGGCTACTGATATAATTACATATGCCTAATCCTAACCAAACCTAATCCAAACCTAATCTGATACCGAGTCTAAACTGCAGTCTTTATACCCAGACAGTGGGAGAGTTTAAATCACAAGCATTTTGGGAACACTTATATCATTTTGGTTGTGCAATAGCAGTTACTGATGTGTATTTTTTCACTATTCAGGTTGGCCTTTCTCAAATGAGAAGCCACACAGCTGCCTGTTCAAAATACCAGGAGTACATTGAGGAGGGAGTGAGGACCACTGCCCAGAGCCAGTCTGCCATCATCAGGTGAAATATCGAGCAATACGAAAAACCAGGAATGTGTCTGAAGTCACTCCCTCATTTACCCATTCAATATTACCTGGATAATAAACTCTTAATAGTTTATGCCATAATAAGCAGTAAAATGTTGAGTTTAAAATTTATTTTAAACTCAATATGACATCATATCATGATGATATGATATGACAGCATTCTTACCACCATCACTGTAGAGATTGTGGACAGTAGCGCTCCCATAGAAATAGCTTTACAGTCTAGTCTGATTTGGCACACAAGCCTCAATTAACAAGGTAGTTTGTTTATCATTGTCAACACAAGGTTGTATAACGAAAATGAAAGTTTGCAGTCCCTTCTTGCTACACACACAGAAATGAACAGATTAAATGTATATTTAAATATGGTAACACTTAAAATAAAACAATAGATACAGTTATTTACATTATTTATTTACATGGCTGCTATCACGGCTCTCTATCCTCTCTTCTGGGTGATCAATGCACCTGTTGTGCTGTATGGTCCGATTGATTTTGCTTGGCTGATCGTCTCTGTAATCCAAAACCCCGGCTTCCTTTTCCAATGACTGTATTTCCATCATAGGCAATACGTGTTTTGGCAATTAAGCCAGAATAAATAAATGAAAAACAAAAGTGTAGTGCAGTCTGAAGAAGCGACCGGCTGCTGTATCTATATGCGCGGCAGGTTGCCAGGTAAAACCGGTTCTTTTAAACCATCTTCATGACTTGTCATTAGGTTTGACTCACCAGTTGTCTTACCATATCCCACATGCAGGGTCAACCCATAAGACGACAGTAGTAATGGATTATTGAGGGTAAAACCTTTACAGTTACCTTCAGACCCTATAATATCCTTTTGGAAGATTGCCTGTGTTCTGTTCAATGCCATTTTGTTTCATCAATTTAATAATCAGACACACACACAATGAGACCCCGGTTCTAAGAAGTGGAAGGTAATTATATACAATAAAAGTTTAAGAAACAGTTATAGTTAAGGTGGACATGATGACTAATGTTGTAGTAGCCTTTTATAATTAATTTCACCCAGTTAGAACAGTTGGATTAATTCAGAAAACAGTATCAGTTTGCTGTATGGCAGGCATTAAAACCAGAAATCAGATGACATCTTCCCTCATTTCATGATATCAATATTATATTGATATCAAACAACTGTTTCCATTACATCCAACATTTCTAAAGCTGAGACACAGCTCTCTTTGTAGAAAAATCAGTAGTGTGACATATTTTCTTGTTTTTGTTTTGTTCCTACAGTCCAGTGCCAAATCGCTTCACTTTCACCTGCCCATACTGCAACTGCCAGAACCTCGATCAGGACGGCCTGGTTGAACATTGCACGTCCCATCATGCTCGAGACACACGCCAAGTGGTAGGAAATCCACACAGAACTCCACTCCACCCCTTCCAACCATAGACAGAGATCTTTAGGGGGAAATAGCAGATCAACAGTATATGCCACATATAAGTATACATCATCTGAAATCTGGGAACATAAAGCTTGATTTGAGATGCAGCTCAGCACTGTGTGTCAAGTTGTACTAGTCATAAATCTGTAATAGACACTGTGTTTCGGTTAGGCATCTAAGTTTAGAACATTATGATGGAAGTATATGATCCCTCAATTATGTCTCATAAGTTGTTGCTGCAGTGTTTGGGTTAATACCATTTATTACACAGATTTGGTGCAAAATTTCAAAAAACAATTGACCACTCAAAAATGTATTTAAAAAAGGTCAATCTGTGCTGTGATTCGATACCACTTTGGGGAAGGCACTGGACCCGCTTATCGTCAATATACCTAGGAAAGCCATACATTCTCTGAATGTCCTATGTATCTAGTTTCTGATTGTCATGTTTCATGAGGCAGTGATTATACTATATAGAGAGGTCAAGTTTTAAAAAATGGTCTCACTACAGATGGCTACTATGGGGACTAACATCATCACACATGAATATAAGTTGGCTCATTGAATCCACAGTAGTCTCAGTTTGCCAGTTATACCATATTTGTGTAATTCCAATACTGTTTAGGGACCCCAGTATGCAGAAATATTCAAATACACAATTTTTAGAAACAAAAATAACACCTTTATGCTGCATGCAATAAAACACGTTTTTTTTCCCCCAAACTGCATGGAATTAACAAAGTGGGCATGCATGTAAAGGGGAGACCGGTGCCTACCATTAGAACCAATTTTTGTTCAGATATCTTGAAGTGAGAGGTCATGGGACCCCTTTTCAAAATGTACATGCCGGTTTCTCCCTTGCCAAAACTTAATTTGGAACTTTATTTAGCCCCCTTACCAACAACCTGGCACATGGTTGGTAGCAATGGAGCCCGCTACAGCCGAGGGCAATGTATGGAGAACCGGTTCCAAGTTGGAATAGTTATCAAATTTCCAAGAACCGTGGATTCATTAACATTCTGCTTATTGGTACTGCAGTGAGCATTTTACAGTCCATAATAGTTGAACTAATCTGCCAGGACCTGCTACTGACCGCAGCAAATGCTCAGGAGTTTGGCTTAGCTTCACTAAAAAAGATCCGTAATATACAACACCTGCTGTAAGGATATCTCGTGCAAGGGAAGGCACAGTGTTCGACGCTAACTGTAGCAACGTCTCATGCTCAGGTACAAAACACAGATGAGTTGACATTCACCTTTTTTATATTGAAGGTAAACAAATGATGTCTACAAATGATTCCAATATATATTTTTTCTTAGATACGAATCCCCAGAGACAACCCTCTAGTACAGAAACTCCTTTCAATTTAGCCATGAAGGGAAAGATGAGCAAGGAGAAAGTGGATGAATGTCACCGAGCAGTGACAAGAGCAGGTTTGAAATCAGAACGGAAATTCAATAAGAACCAGATTTGATAAGTAGAATTGGAATCGATAAAATTGAAATGATACCCAACCTTACTCCAGCCCGTGAAAGATGGTAATGTTGGCCGAGGTTGTGTTGAGTTGAAGAGGTTAAAAACAAGGTTCCACGCACTGTTTGGATTTAGCTAGGGTTAATTTGTTTATAGATTCTTCATTACTTTCTCTTTGTTTCTGTCTAGGTGTGCCCCATCTGTGCCTCAATGCCTTGGGGGGACCCTAACTACAGGAGTGCTGACTTTTTCCAGCACCTGAAGATCAGACACACCTTCTCCTATGACACCTTCGTTGTAAGTTGAGGCCCCAAACGCTATCAGGAGTTTCCTTTTTTTAGGATGCTAATAATCAGTTGATATACTGGTTCTGTTTTCTTCTCTCTTTACACCCATGTGTTTGCAGGACTATTCCACAGATGAGCACACAATGATCCAGGAGGCTCTACAGCGCTCCCTTTTGGACAACTGAAGTGAGAAGAACAATCTAGCATAGGAGGAATCCAGGGAAATGAAGGGGAGATGGTGACGTGAAGTCTTGAGAAGACAGAACCCCACACTGTATCATCATTCATCTATCATGAGGATGGTGGTACTGTATTACTATGGGTAATCAGTTTCACAGGGAATTGGTCTTGTTAATGAATCTATAGGTTTATTATTCAGAAAATAAATCACGCAATATGGTTAAGAAAACATATTGTACTGTACTGATTTAGGAGTGATACTGTGTTTCTGGTGTGATAATATCTTATCCTCCAACTACCCCCACAGCTGAGTCTGTAGGCTTGATAGTTTGTTGAATATCTATTAAACTATGTTTGTTAAAGCTTGTTCATTGATGACATGGTGTCTTATACCCAAAAAGTTGTAATTAAATTTCCCTGTCGTCAATACTTGATGTTATAAGAGGGTTCGACCACTAGGTGGCTAACTATTGCCAGCAAATGACAAACTTCACAAAGTTGTCAAGTAATATTAACAATAATATATAATAATCTACTCGAGTGACTCTGCATGTTTACTCTCAACAATTGAGAGCAAGTTTTTCTTTTTGAGTTTTTTTTGTTTGTTTGTTTTAGCAGATTGAAGCGTTTTTTTTGTTTGTTTGTTTTTTTATGCTGTTTCTGGGTGAAGTGTGTGTGTGTGTGTGTGTGTGTGTGTGTGTGTTGTTTGAGAGACAGTGTGTGTTCATTCTGTTTTCAGAGATCTACTGGAAAGAATAAATAATATGAGGGTCAAACAAAGCCAGAGATGGCCGTTTGCTTTATTGTAAAGTTTCTCCCTTATGTCTTTGTGCCTGCTGGTAGATCTTGTTTCTGACTTCCAAAACTCATAGGGCTAATAGTTCATCCAGTGAACCAAAAGAAGAAGTGGGAGACCATCTTTGTGTCCTAATCTGTCAATTCTTGTGATTTCATTGGAGGAGAATCTATCTAAATGGTTATGGCCACAGGGAGGCAGTAGAGTTCCATCGTTCTCTGGCTCATCCATGGGCCCTCACCAGCCTCCTGGCTCAGTTACAAGACATAACTCAACACCGATTTTGTTCTATAAATGTGCTTTACTCAATGTGTGGTTCCCCTGCTTAGTTTTGTGACCGGGATTTGTTCAAATGCAGCGTACAAAAACATCACTGATCTTTAGAAATGGAGGTTTTAGTGGAGTTATTTGTTATAGTTTCAAAAGAACAACTGTAACTTCACTTTTAGACCATCTACGTGACTTGGCTTAAGATTTTAAATGTAAGTTAATGTAGTGTTTTGTTATTTTTCATACCCAGTGTCTTGGATGCATCATCACTAAAAAAAAATTGCTGGTTTCCATATATATATATATATATATATATATATATATATATATATATATATATATATATATATATATATATATATATATATATATATATATATATATATATATATATATATATATATATATATATATATATATATATATATATATATATATATATATATATATATATATATATATATATATATATATATATATATATATACACTGCCAACCGTTCTGAGGGGGGAATAAAATCAACATTGTTATTATTTGTATGCTTCCAAAAATGACAGCATGTGGAGTAACAAGAAAATGCAGTTTGGACTTTGCTTGACTTTTGTGTTGGATATTTTTTATTTCAGTTCGTAACATGTGAATTGTGTCTATCTATTTTCACATCTGTGTTGTTTTCCTATGACTTGTAATTGTCACAAAGCAACCATGTACAATAGTGCAAACCTTCACACACAGTTGCATTGCATTTGTCTTCTACCAACAGGTAAATAAAATGTAATACACCCAGATCAAGTAGCTCTAGAGCAGAACCTTAATGCCTTTTCACGTAGTCTTTGGTGCCACTAAGCCCTAGATGTTCGTTTTCCTCTCCAGTAAAATGTGTAATAATTTTGTATGTGTATCATGTATAATGACTTTTTTTTTTCTTTCTCAATATATCTTTCATTCTCTTTTGTCAGCCCTTCTGTTAGAGGGTGCTAAATCCTGATAAATTAAAGCTCTTTAATTATTTAAACCCTGGCCCCAGATATCAGGCGCAGTGATTTATACCTGTGTGTATGAGACGTGTGGGGGAAGAAACAACACTCACTGCTTTGATGGATGACCACAGAGAGTGTGTGTGTGTCTGTGAGAGAGAGAACGAGGGAGCAGTTAAAAGGAAGGTAGTGTGCAGGTGCATCAACCGAAGCTCTGGATTTGCTCAGTTGTCATAATCTGGCAATGGGCAAAATGTGTTAGTGAAAAGAGCTAATTGTGGAATATATTAAATAAGCCAACCCTTCTACAAACCTTTGTCCATGTGTTGGAAATAAGGGCGGTACTATATCATACCAACAATGATATTACTATGTACTTGCATCTGTGCTAAGTTTATGATGAAACTTAGACCCTTCGGTGTACATTGTCCACAGGGAGTGGAAACCCTCTCATCTCTATTCTTTCCTTTGTGCACTTCTTGTATCTGTAATTACTGTAGCTAAATGATATTACAGTTTCTCACCTAGCTCCACGGAGAATCTCACCCACCAAACTTCTTGATGTAGTCCCCCCTTTCTTCTCTTTTCTTTTCATTCCCCCATTCCCCGATCAGGTTTTTGCTCCTGGCAGATAGAGAAGAGATGTTAGCTGTGAGAGGACTAACGAGATACTCGAGTGCTTCTGGGCAGGAAGGAAGTCGAGCCGAAAAACATGGCAGAGAGAAGTCTTTCTTGTCTGTTTGGTGGCGGAGCTAAAAAGGGAGAGGGGGGCCAAGGTGGGGAATAGGAAAAGGAAGAAAGAGGGAAAAAGGGAAGAGAAGTGAACACATTGAATAAAAATTTCATAAAGTTCAACGTGTGGTTTCTTTGATGCGAGCAATAGATAGTGTGTGCAGTCTGCAGGCTCTGTGGAGGCAGCAATTTATGCTACATGTGCCCACAGGCGCACTGTGAGAGGCGTGGGGACGCTGGCTTGTTTAAGAAGTGTGTCGCACCATCACTCTACCCTAGACACCCTTCCACCACAATTTTGTTTTCTTTCAATGTATTTTAAACCCCCTCTTCCACCTACTGTATGTCTCTTGAAATTCAGCATAGCTAAACTTGTAGGTTTATGCCCCTCTGTACCTGGTAATCGCCAAGACATTTAAACAGTAACAAGTGAACACACCATAAGTTCAGTCAATATTTCAATGAAATTTTGCACTTCTGCGTCATGAGTCAAGGCCCAGCATAACCTTTAGAAAAGGGAGGACTCCTCTCTGTCTGCTTGATTTTTGACACCAGGTCTGAAAAGATGGTTTTCTTTCTGGTTTAGGCTATTTTACACCCATCACACAGTGTATTCTGCCTAAATGTTTGGTCAGAGAAAAACAGGTGGTGTATATTCAGGCCAGTCAGGTAGGAATCTGTAGGACTGACTATCTGTCACCTGGTGCTGTGAAGAATAACATTAATGAGTGAGAGTGCATCAGTAAGATTGAAAACATTCTGTGTGATACACAGAAAGGGTGACGAGATAAGAACTCCTCCAATGCCTGGAAAGTTCTCTCTCTTAGTCCTATCTCTCTCTAGTTTTGCTGAGGCAGGTATCTGGGATGAGGTGTGGGGTGTGTGAGAAGAGCACTGGGAGTTTGTTCACCGTAAAATTCCTCAAAGTCAGGAGAAACAGGAAGAGCGGGAATCCTGCCGCCCGGGCGCTGCAGCTCGGGCAGGCTGGTCCTCTCAAATGTTTGAACAGAAAGTGCCAGTGGGCTTCCCCGACATCAATTCCTCTTCCGCTTTTAAACTCTTAACAACCGACCCCCTACTCCAGCCACACACACACACACACACACACACACACACACTCCTTGTGTTGCTAGCCTAAAGAGCAACTAGACTTAACTTTGATTTAATTATGCCTGTAACCAGCTTGGCCCTGTATCAGCTGAAGTGAAACTTGTGTGTGTGTGTGCATCTATTTTTGTGCCCTCTCAAACCCCACTTCTGCCAACATTGTGCCAAAGGATAACAGTTTATCTTTACTCTTCTTTACTCTCTAAAAGCAAAGTTAATCAAATATAATATATCGGTGGAGAAATATTATGTGATCTGTATTGTGTAAATCCAAGCAAGCTACCCTATGTGCCTCCCCGAATTGCTGCAACAAAAAAAAAACTCCTCACACCAGTTTTAATCCCCTCTAAAAGCTTGGAAAGTTCTCAGAATCACTGTTTCTGCAGAAATATTCTCCTGGAAGTGAAAATGAATAAGAAATGCATTGATATAACTATCAGGAGAATTGCTAATCATTGCTTCCTCATTTATTTATTTATTTGAAATCCGCACAGCCACTGTACTAATATTTGAAAGTTAAGCCCTCTAAGGTGTAAACGAAGGGGGGGCAAGGTCCCTGGTGTATGTGTGTGTATCTGTGTGTGTGTGTGTGTGTACCTGTGTCACAATTGAACAGCAAGCCAAGTGAGGCAATGGATCTAAATTTTATTCCCCCTCTGTGTACCCCTGTAGACCAACTAAGATGTGTGTGTGTGTGTGTGTGTGGAAGAGAGCGAGGCCCAAGGCTATTATTCTCCCATTAATATTTCCATTTGAAATCAAACCTCAGTGGGCGTGCATGAGGGAATCTGAGGAGGGAGAGAGGACTAGAGTGGGGATAACCTCATCAGGGTGAGGTGGTGGTGGTGTGTGTGGTTGGGGGTGGGGGGGTTGTAGCAGCATTAATGTCCAATAGGGGAGGCAATTTCACTTTTAAAGGAATCCTCATTATTTGTCAGAATGTCTCCCTTCTCCTGTCTTAATCCTCCTGGACCAGTATGCCCCAGGGGAAAACTGCCAGCCATTAAGACATTTGAGTTTTTGGGTTTTTTAGCTACACAGTTGTGAGAACAGAAGGAGACAATCATATCGTTTCTGCTTAGACTGGTTGTATCTGTACAGTCCTGTAAATGTTCTCATTTCACCTGTCTATTCCACTTTCCTCTGCAAAACTTTCAGTGCATACAGGACATCTTACATCATTATGTTTCTCACCTGTTAACCTTCATTCCTCCAACCTACCCACCCCCACAAACACTCACCTCCTCTTCCTTACACTTCCTCTTCGAGTCTCCTTCAATTCCAATCACCACTCTCCACCCTGTTTCCCCCCGTCTTTCTTTGAAAAAACGCCAGTGCGTGCTAATCTGTCAATCAGACGCTGTCCTGTTGTGACGATGATGGGGGTCCGTGATGCTCGGCCATACACATCCAGCAGCTCGCAGCTTGGAGCGACTCGATGATTAACCAGGCAGGTAGTGAGTCAAACTGCTGACAGCAGAAACACACTGACAGCTGATTTGGAAGACAATGGTCCCGCTCCCTCTACTCAACTTGTCACGGCAGTCGAAGTACCTTCTCCATTAACTTCTGACATATCTGGAAAGATGGAGGGGAAACACTCATTTACTACATGGCACTCATAGATATTTGGACATGTTTACATGGGCAAAAGTACTTCAAAACATCTAAAGAGAACTATTTTGGGAGACCTGCAAAACAAAAGTCATCATGTTATCAATAACACATTAGTTGCGAAGCATCAACTTATATGAGTATGAGTATGAGTATTAACTTGAAGAGCCGTTGATTAAGATTAAAATGTACAATTGGAATTGATTAGAAACTTGAGAAAACTTGTTCTGGTTTATGGCGCCAGTGTTTGATTAGAGGTCCATCAGAGCTTGAAATTGAATAATAGTATAATGGGATTATTAAAGTACTGCAAGTTGTTATTGAGATTGTGATATTACTGTGAATGGCTAATGGGAAACATCAGGAGATCCTTTGACTGTATATCCAGAAGTGAAGACTGTACAGTTTGGTGTCAGTTTACAAAGACGAAACCCATCATCGTCTTGTCTCTCAGATTAATAGTCCAACACTTCCCAATTATTAACCGCCCCTGCAGTGCACCATTTATATTCAAAGCTGTTTACCTCCCTCCACTTCCTGTCCTTTTGTGTCTTGTGTCTTTACAGGAGGGAATGGACGACGCAGGCAGATCTGTCAATCAAACAGCAGCCCCCAACCACCGGTGGCTGCCCATAGACAGCCGTCCATAGACAGCTGTCCATACACCTCCACCGGCTCCGGCCCCTCCTCAGCTCAATGAGTAACTAACCTGCAGGTATTGAATCAAACTGCTGACGAGCACGTGGAGGGGTGGAGAGGTGGGGGCTGTGTAGGTGGATGGGTAGAAAGATAGAAAGGGATGGGAGGACGGAGATGACAATGGCATCATTTTATAGCCCACCTTGGTGACGTAACCTTTAAATTTGCAAAGAAAG